TTCTCAAGCGCAGCAAAGTCGCCCTTCACCTTGAAAGGCGCAATGTGGTGTCCTTGTCTCTGGAATCTTTGGTCTTTTTTGCTCCTTACTGTTGAGCAACAAGCTCGTTCGCAGGAACAAATCCCTTCTGCCCTCATTTAAAGAAGGATACTCCAACACCAGCAACAATGGAAAGAGCGGAGAGCAAAATCCACGGTCACTGAGTTCCTTCCAACGCTTGGCAGCTCACGGAACAGGGTGGGCCTTTGACCCGCCCCACTGGCTTTCCCAGGACAGAAGCAGTAGGGTCAAACCACCGCCCGGTCCCTCCAGGTAGCAGCTGAACACTTACCCACTGCCACCTGAGCTCCCTTCATGGCAATTAAAAGCCAAACGCAAACCCATAGGCACGGAGTAGGTTGGTCGCTGTGCTATGGCATTTGGTACCTTCCGAAGTACCGACCTCATCGGAGCCTCCTATCCGTGCCATGGAGTGTGGATACTTGGGTTCGGTTTGGTTTTTTCCTCCAGTTTATGTGGACAGGCCTGGTCGACTACAGACACATGCTAGGGCTGTAAGGTGATTTAATATCCTTCTAACATCCTCGCTGGCACCCTCGTGGTGCTCCAGTGGGGTTACACATTGGGCTGCTAACTGCAATGTCAGCGATTCGAACCCACCAGCCACTCTGTGGGAGACAGATGAGGCAGTCTGCTCCTGTAGAGATTTTCAGTCTTGGAAACCCTCGGGAGCAATTTCATTCGGTCCTACAGGGTCATGGTGAGTTGAAGTCAACTCAGTCTCAGGGGGGTGTGGATCACAAGGAGCAAGTTTATGAAGATTAATTTAGTAGTCTCTAGAGTTGCTGAAGAAGAATCCTGATGGTGCAGTGGTCAAGCACCTCACTGCCGCCTGAAAGGTCAGTGGTTCGAAGCCACCAGCCGAGCTGTGGGAGGAAGAGAGTCTGCTTCTGTAAAGACTTACAGCCCTGGAAACCCTTGGGGACTATTCTATACTGTCCTATAGTCAGATCACTGTGCGCTGGGCTCAACTTGATGGCAATGGGTTTGGTTTTCGTTTTTATCGATTCCTGAGGATGAGAAAAACCCCAAATTCTACCTCATTCATAGAGCTTATTTTCATGTTATCACACACGCAACAGATGCACCGGCACCACCACTGTACCACCCAGACCTGCAGGGAATTAAAGGAAATGGGGTGAGTCTGTTGTATTTCCTCTCAGCTCGTTAGTTATGCGAGTTTTACAATAAGCATCCCTTCCCTCGCCCACTCTTTCATCCTGAATGTCTTATAGGAACACATTCGAAGAAAAACAAAAACCACAAGGTCATTCAGTCAAAGCCTAGGCCACTTGAATAATGTTATCACATTTAAAACAAAAAAGGAGGATGTTTGGGGTAAAGGTACTAAAGCCTCTTATTATCCATGAAGATGAAATTGTTTTATAATAGTTCTGTTAGTTTTTCAGTAGATTTCCATATTTGAGAGATTCCATGGGATGATACAGGAGCCCTGGTGGCAATGCGCTAGGCTGCTAACTTCAAGATCAGCAGTTCAGAACCACCAGTCACTCCTCAGGAGAAACACGAGGCTTTCTACTCCTCTAAAGAATACGTCTTGGAAACCCACAGGGACAATTCTACTCTGTCCTGTAGAGTTGCTATGAGCTGGAGTGGACTTGTTGGCAATAAGTTGTACGTTTTTTTGTTTAAACCTGAACGATACACTGGAAATCTCTCAATCTTAACTGAGGTATATGAACCAGATAGACATATTAAATCAAGTATTAATTTCAATTCACACACACACACACACACACACACACACTACATTCTATAGGCTCAAAACTAAATTAATGCTTTGGTTGTGTCCTGTCCTTTAATTGAGTCTAACATTTCAAGACCTAGAACATTTTGATGTGTTGTGTTGAAAGAGTAATGTGTATCTGTTAATCAATCATTCGATCTATTTGATGACCATACATAGATACCATTTGGTAGGTAGATGATTATAGAACTCAAAATAAATAAGATTTTAAAAAACATGTGCCATAGAACATTCCTTATTCTGCGTGTTAAAACTCATTGCCATCAGTCGATTCTGGTTTGATTCCGATTCCTAACGACAGCACAGGGCTGTCCTACAAAGTTTTCAAAGCTGTCACCCGTTTCTACAGAAGCAGACTATAGTGACTTCCTTCTCCCAAGAAGTGGCTGGTGGGTTCATACTGTCAACTGAATTTAAGTGTTCGTCTTAAATTAACATAACACTAATATACATCATTTGTAGATAGACTTATGAAACAGGACTTCGTTGGTACGGAAATGCTAGCTTTTATCCGTCCGACAGGGTGAAATAGCTCAGGAGCTCTTTGATGTTTCCAAGTGGGCAGAAGTCTGATCCACTTTCCAAGTTGATTTAACTGCCACACACCGGAACTGGGTCTGGTGCAAGGCTGGGCAACTCAACCGGCAGCTGTTGACAAAGAGAAGGGCAACTCCGTGTGGAAACACATGTTTCCAGTAGATAATTCCAAGCGACTGCATGTTGAAAACTGAAGCAGTATGCACACAGTTATAGCTGCCGTTTCCCATCTGTCTGCTGAAGGTAAATAAACAAATGCCGTGGACAGGGAAGAGTTCAAATGCTCAACAAACATTTGTGGTAACATGGAGTCTCCAGAGACTTCCACAAGGAATCAAGACATCTTTCCGGCATCAGTAAGCTACTTCCATCATATGGGAGAAGGATCCCACAGTCCACAAAAACCCCTCCTGTGGAGTCTGTACTGAGAGTAGAACCAACTGCCCCCTGGGGGCTCCAAGGCTGCCCCCTTTAAGGGAAGGGGCGTGGGTTGCACCAAGGTTAGAGCGCTGGGCTGCCAACAGAAAGGTAGCCATCTGCTTCCATAGAGATGGTCGCTGTGGAAACCCTACGGACCGTTTCACGCTGTCCCACAGGGTTGCCATAGGACCCTGGTGACGTAGTCATATGAGATGCGCTGCTGACTATAAGGGCAGCAGTTAGAAACTACCAGCCGCTCCTCAGGAGAAGAATGAGACTTTCTATTCCCATAAAGAATTACAGTCTTGAAAGCATCACAGGATAGAGGTGCTATGCGTGGGAATCGGCTCTCCAATAGAGAGTTTAGCATCTTCACCGGAGCAGATTGCCACATTGCTCTCCTGCAGAGGAGCTGCTGGGTTTGAACTGCTCACCTCGGGACGGGCAGTCGAGTGCTTAACCACTGTGCCTCCAGGCCTCCCCAGACACGTCAAAGGGACCACAAAATGAGCACACTTTCACAAAGCTTGCCTAGTCTTGACACCACGCTTCAGCCGAGATTTTCACCTGAACTTGACATCATTATGCCCTCCCACGGCTCTCTCCATGCAGGCAACAAGTCCAACCGGGGAGTTTAGATTTGCTTCGATCAAAATAAACGTTTTAAATACCATGAAAAGGCGGCACGATTCTGTCAACGTGAAATTCTGCGTTCCGATCCAAACCTACCAGCTAATACAACTCAGATCCTTTTCCTTACTGTACGTGTTAGGTTGGCACAAATGCCTACGTCTTAGAGAGATGGGTTTCCCAGACAGGGCCGCTCTCCCCAAACTGGCAAACTACTGAGCCACCTCGGACGGCCTCACTCCCTCTCGGGGTAGGAAGTGTCCATCAGGGCGGAGGGAAGGTCTTCAAGCTCGGCGACTGCGCTTACTCATAGGAGAGGCCACTGAATTAAGAGAGTAGGCACGGGACACAACGACGTCTCAGTGCCACCACTTGTCGGGGACTGCCCCTGTCCAGCATCAGTCCGCCCTCCACAAGATCACCAGGCAGGGTGGCATTGCGGGGAGGATCCAGGAAACTCCGTCATCGCCACTTCTCTATGTTCATGCTCCAGTGACATACAGTTTGTTTTTTGTCAAGGTTGTGTGTGTGTGTGTGTGTGTGCGTGTGTGTGGCAGCAGCAATCATCCCACACACGGTAGAGAATGTCATTGAGAACAAAAAGGGGAACTATTTTAGCACCATGAGAATTCTTGGGTTGTCTCATTATTATCTTATTTTTGCACCTATCAATTCTATTCTTGTCCTTCAAATGAGCTCCCGTGAGCTATCCTTAGCATCATCCCTCCAGACTAAACAAAGAAGGGAAAAAACAAATAAGGCTGAGTCACCGACCGGATGTGCGGAGCGCTCGCACAGGGGATAGGAATGTGCTCATGCTCTGCGTTCATTCCTCTAGCGCCCTGGACCGTGTGTGTGTGTGTGTGTGTGTGTGTGTGTGTGTGTGTGTGTGT